CCCATGTCTCCCCCAGCCACTTCACCCAACAGCGAGGCCGAGACCCCGTCACCGACCCGGAGCGCGACCGCGGCCCCCCCAAATCCGGGGGCAGCCCTTGCCCTCCCCCACCCCCCCAAACCCCCCCGGCGCCCCCGCCCCCTCCCCCCTCTGCCAGCGCCCCCTCCCCGGCCCTGCCCCCCCAGTCCGGCTCCCTGTCCACCGATTTCTGGGACCTGCTGGTCAAGCTGGACAACATGAACGTGAGCCGCAAGGGCAAGGGCTCGGCGCGGGCGGGGGGCGGCGGGGGGGGCCCCGAGCCCGAGGCGGCCGGGGGGGGCCTGGAGGCGTCGCCGCTGGGGCAGCTGATGAACATGCTGTCCCACGGCGTCATCCGCCGCAGCCCCCTCCTCACCGAGAAGCTGCTGCGCCTCCTGTCCCTCATCTCCATCGCCCTCCCCGAGGGGGGCAAGGCCGGCGAGGGGGGGGCAGCGCCCCAGAACGGAGCCCCCGCCCCCCCCGCGCCCGCCCCGCCCGCCGGGGGGGCCACCACGGCCACCTCGGCCACCTCGGGGACCTCGGGGGCGGCCGCAGCGCCCGGGAGCCCCCCGGGACAGGGCGGGAACGGAGGCGGCGGCGCGGGCACGGCTGGAGGAGCCACGGGTGAGTGGGGGACAGGGACAGGGGGGACAGGGGGGACAGGGATGGGGGGGGATGGACGGGGACAGGGGGACAGGGACAGCGGGACAGGGGCGCAGGGATGGGGACATGGGGTCAGGGACATGAGGACTCGGGGACAGGGCTGGGACGCAGGGACAGGGACAGGGGGCAGGGTGGGGGGGCGATGGCCTCGGTGGCATCTCCCCCCCACTGCCACCACCCCACCGCCGTGTCCCTGCTGTCCCCAGCCCCTGCCAAGAGCTCCAAGTCCCCTGCCAAGGTCCCCGAGGGCGGCCCCGACCCCCGGCTGGCGGCCACGGGCCTGACCGAGAGCCAGCTCCAGCTCTCCGTGGAGGTACCGGGGGGGCCGGGCTGGGCAGGGGGGGTCCCCGGGGGTCCCCGGGTGTCCCCAACCCCCCCGTGCCGCCCCCCAGGTGCTGACGTCGCACTCGTGCTCGGAGGAGGGGCTGGAGGACGCGGCCAATGTCCTGCTGCAGCTGTCGCGGGGGGACGCGGGGACGAGGGACACGGTGCTGCGGCTGCTGCTCAGCGGGGCCCGGCAGCTGGGGGGGGCCCTGTGCCGCCAGATCGGTGAGGGGGGGTCCGGGGGGGGGGCCCTGTGTGAGGGGGGGGGTCTGGGGAGGGGGCCTGGGGGGGGGGG